ATAGACATCTACAACGTAAATGCGCCACACACCTTGAGATATAGTTCTAAGGTCTCAGTATAGTCACAACGGCTGCCCCACCCTTCAAACCGAAACGCATTACTGCTTCACGGCAGAAATAGGCGGGGCGGTGGTACCTATCCGNCACAGCCCACCTGGTGTTAAGTGGTTACTGGAGCCCATAGACATCTACAACGTAAATGCGCCACCCACCTCGAGATATAAGTTCTAAGATCTCAGTATAGTTACAACGGCTACCCCACCCTTCGAACCGAAACGCATTACTGCTTCACGGCGGAAATAGGCGGGGTGGTGGTACCTACCCGGGCGGACTCCCAAGAGGTCCTACCACCAGTGATTACGCAAATTATAATTTTGCGGGTTTGATTTTTATTACAGGATGTTATTCCTTCACCGTGGAAGTCAGTATAAGTATAAGTGATGTGGTTAGTCCCAATGTGACGATAACAGCTATTCCAAATTCTCAGTATACCAACTTTAGAAAATGACCGATCGTTCTATAGATAGTCAAAACATTTTGTCATCCACGAAAACGGTTATGTTTGTATCCGTTACAAAAAAATTTAAAATACGGAAAAAGGAAACCATAAAATTCATTTAAAATAATTGATGTGGGCTTCCTCCATTAGGCTTGTGACGTAGAACAGTCGCAGCCGCACAAATATGATTAAAATAAGATTAAATTTAAAATACAGTTTCTGACCTTTTCCGTCAATGACTCATGAAGCATTTCATCAATCTAGCCTGTTTTTTTAGCTTCGTTTGAAAAATTACCGTAACATTTAAAAAAATGTTAAAAAAAATTAGTTGCCTAACTGAAATGTCACTACGTTTACCTAAATGAAACAACCCTTTTGACTGTACACTGAGCTTTTGAACAACCGAAGCTCTTACTTGGAGTCAAACATCCACGGATGCCAATAAATATCATACCATAAATGATGATGACACATACTTTGCCACAGCAGATGACATTCGTGTCTATGTGGAAGATAATGGGTGGATAATATCTCGGTATACTTAATCATCAGATATGGAAGCGCATCGCCAAGAGGGTAATCCTTGCAACCAATTGGGTCATCCTTGCAACCAATTGAGTAATCCTTGCAACAAATTGGGAAATCCTTGCAACCAGTTGGGTAATCCTTGTAACCAACTGGGACCTAACGAATGCCTCTATACATCGTCAGCGAAACCACGACTGCTCTGTTAAGAGTGTTCGACTAAGAAGATACTTATTCTTCGGGTAACTATAACACCGAAAAAAACCTACCTTTGGGCATTTTGATAACCTTTTTCGTGAATGTATTCGAAGTTAATCAAATTACACGTCAGATCTTTAAGAAATTTTAAATAACATAAAATGGTGAGTACGACATTGAGTTATAAAATCGGTTCACCAAGAAAGATATCTATACATACATAAAAAAATTATAAATGAATTGAGAACCTCTCCCTTTTTTTGAAGTTGGTTAAAGAACAGCAATACATAACTACGCACGTTGATAGTATCGTACAGACTTAGAATACGCACTTCCATCATTTTTGTTGTCTTCCGAAGCATCCACCACCTAGACATATGTCAGCAGTCCACAGACGCTAATGACGGAGAGTTTGCTTGGGGAAAAAAGGAGCTATATCTAGCAAGATATAGCACAATTTTGTAGACTGCTAATTGATGTGATGTATTTCAATGCTACAACTAAACAAATCCGCTTTGTCGTTCGAGAGGTGAGGGACGGAATATGGTCGCACGCTCCGATAGGGGACTCACCTGATTAATTCGATACTTCCTCTTAGTGGCGGCTGGTTTTCAGCTACGCGTATTGACGAACACAAACACGCACGCATTATTCATTTATATATACGTTTATCTATTTTATGTTATATATGCTATTGTAGTCAAAGGCTTGGGGCTCTGTCCCTGGCATTACTGACATGAGCCATTTTTTAATATATTATAATAATAATAGCTGACCCGGAAGACTTCGTAGTGCCTCAATCGATAAATAAAAGACCTAAGTTTTTGTGTAAAATAAACTTAAAACAAACAAAAGGAATCCGTCCGACGGGGGACGCATCAAAGGGAAAACAAAATTGTTATTTTTATTTAATTCCGAACATTTTCATTCGTTTATCTACCCTTTAAACATTCTCTGGACTTCCAAAAATAATTCAAGACCAAAATTAGCCAAATCGGTCCAGCCGTTCTCGAGTTTTAGCGAGACTAACGAACAGCAATTCATTTTTATATAATACTAGCTGACCCGGCAAATATTGTTTTGCCATATATAAGATTTCTAGGGAATTTCTAGTGTAGAAAAAAAACTAACTTATTGTAAGTGTGTAAGGATGTGGTAAATGAGTGAAAGAGGTATGTAGTGCTGTGAACGATGAGGAAATAATAAAAATAACAAAACCTCATTCAACCACATAATACCTCATTATAACAAAAAAAATATGTCCAAATAAAAAAATATATGTTAGGGGTGGACAACCCTAATCACTTAGGGGTATGAAAAATAGATAGTAGCCGATTCTCAGGTTTACTAAATATGCATACAAAATTTCATGAGAATCGGTCAAGCGGTTTCGGAGGAGTATGGGAACGAATATTGTGACACGAGAATTTTATATATTAGATGTATGTTTTGTACTGTTGGTTTCCTAAATAAATATGTCGGAGAAGCTACAATTATTAACACCATCGTCAAACTTTGTAGGAGCGAATATCGATATAATTTTATAATTTTATAAAAAAATATAATTTGCGTAATCACTGGTGTTAGGACCTCTTGGGAGTCCGCACGGGTAGGTACCACCACCCCGCCTATTTCCGCCGTGAAGCAGTAATGCGTTTCGGTTCGAAGGGTGCGGGAGCCGTTGTAACTATACCTGAGATCTTAGAACTTATATCTCGAGGTGGGTGGCGCATTTACGTTGTAGATGTCTATGGGCTCCAGTAACCACTTAACACCAGGTGGGCTGTGAGCTCGTCCATCCAACTAAGCAATAAAAAAAAAAAAAAATAGCGAATATCGGTGAACTAGGGATGATCGAGCTAAGAGAAATATTGAGTACACCAATTACATTTGCTGTCTTAGAACAATTTAGAAATCTTCTCTTGACGTTAGCAAACGATAACGATTGACAGTTCTTAGGACGGTGGCACCGCTCTTCAAGAAGGCTGGTTGGTAAGTGTGATGGCGTCTACGCGCCTCCATCGGCTAGGCTCTGTCGTAGCAATAAAAACCGGACGGGCCAAGGTCTTGTAGTCCCGCCTACCTATTTTTACCGTTCCAGTTTGAAGATTGGGACAACCGTAATAATATAGATTTTAGATTTAGACCTCATCTCTCAAAGTGAGGAGAAACATTCACATTGAGATGTCTATAAGCTCCGACTCCAATTAACACCAGGCTGTGAACTTGTCCACCCGTCTACAGGATAAAAAATAGATCTAAACACCGTCCTATCTTATCTGTTTATGCTGTTACTGAAATTAATATGGAATATTTTATGAAGAAGTAGACAGCAAGTCAGTAATCCATAAAGATATTCTTAAATACATAAACGTGCAAAAAAAATCGTTAGATTCGTTAGATTATTTTAAACATTTTCATTATGAAAGCTTAGTAGAGTAGACAAACTTTTAATATTTTCTGTAACCGACTTTACGGATCCCCTAATAGGACTTATTTCTACTTTTATCTAGAATGTAAACAAATTTTTCAAAAGTAGAATTAAGAAAATAAATACGCTAACAATTCACAATCTATGAACCATGACACCTCTGAACATATAATAATATATAACCCACGTTACATATAAGTCAAATTGAGGAGAATCGGGACCCTCTCAAATTCAACACAAATTTTCAATGGTTCTTCTTAGGGTAATCAATAAAATTAAGATTAAAATGGTTCCGGAGGCTTAAATTTTTATATACATAGTTCATTACAAAATATAAACAAAAACTAAAAAAACTACCTTGACCCGATTCACCTTGGCTTTGGGGTGAATCAGGTTACGTATGGGGGCAATAGAGTTTTTCGATAGGGCTTTTTATTGCTTAGATGGATGGACGAGCTTACAACCCACCACGTGTTAAGTGGTTACTGGAGCTCATAGACATCTACGCCGTAAATGCGCCACCCACCTTGAGATATCAGTTCTAAGGTCTCATTATAGCTACAAAACGGCTGTTCTGTCCTTCAAACCGAAACGCATTACTTTCACAGCAGAAATAGGCAGGGTGGTGGTACCTACCCGTGCGAACTCACAAGAGGTCCTACCACCAGTAATTATGCAAATTATAATTGTGCGAGTTTGATTTTTATTACACGATGTTATTCTAGCTAGGCTGGCACTATTTAGTCGTTAGGTAGGTACCTAACATTAGGTAATTAACTTTTTAATATCTTTACTTAATGAGTTACAAAACTTTGATGACTAAATTAAACTATATAATATTCTTAAGAACTAAATAAAAGTCATTTTCAGTTCAACAAAGCTAAATGTAACAACTAAACAAAAATATTGTGACATTCCAGATTTGTCCCCATTCTAATTCTAGTCTCTATTCCCCCTAATCTACTGTACTATAGTTAAAAGTAAAAACTGGATTATTTAAGGCACTTGAATTAAACCCGTGTTCTAAAAATGTAAATTCAGTATTACAGTATGACAAAATTTTAATTCAAGAATTTCGGTATGTCTATTAACTTTCAGAATTGGAATATAATAACGTTGTTTTTAAATTGTAATTTAGCTTCGTCAATATCGGGTTAATATAAAAAGTTTCTGTTCAAAAGATTTTTTTATTTATTTTTAATTTTAACTTCCAATGAAAAACATGAATACCAGGTATTTAAAAAATTGCTTTAAAATAATAATTGTTTATTTTTCATTTTAACTTCCAATGAAAAACATGAATACTAATTAAATATTTGCTTTAAAAAAAGAATTTAGTTACCTACCTACGCGTTTGCGTAAAATCCAAAAAAAACTTTACTTTCACACATCCACAACACCAAAGAACAATTTCGAACTATAAATCAAAAATAATGTCTGATTTTCGTAAAACGAATCGAATGTTTGTTTATCGATAATTTCTTATAAAAGCGCGCTCTCTGTTTCCACAAGTCCACACTCCACGGCGTCGCATTCACAACTGAACGAATTCAAGCGCACGAGTTTACACTAAAAATAAAACACAACGTTTTCCAACTACACACCGTGTTTCGTTTGATGTATGAAATTTTAGTTCAAGCCCGAAATCGCGTCAACACACAATACAACACAGTGCTCAACCTCTACGATGAGGTCCCGAAAGACATTCAGCTAATTCTATCGCCAACGTACTAATGTTAGTGTAATAATAGGCTATTTCGAAATTCAGACGAGTTATTTGTTTGTGAATTTGTTTTATGAGTATTTGCGCCTTTCTGTAACAAGGCGACGGTAAATCATAGTGCAGAGGTGTTTGTCGGCGTGTCGGTCGTTAATGCCGTAGTTTGCATGATCGTTGACGGGTCTTGCTTGTTTGAAGTTTGAATGGTGGCGTGAAGAAAGATATTTCGCATTTTACGGTAGGCTCGTATCTCTTCATTTCAGCTTCGCCCTAACGTGTGTAGGTGAGCTCACGGGGCTCGAACCGGAGTATTGCTAACACTGAGCCTAGCAAGAGCCGTGCTTCGCAGAATCTACCACCGGATCGGAAACGCGACCCACTGAGAAGATCCGGCGAGAAACTCAGTGGGCTGTGTTTATGGGTTAATTCGCTCGTCGAGCCCTTCGTCGCAAGCGACGGGTCCGACGAGAACGGTGACCGGTGCTTGTGGTACCTAAAAGCAGCGTTAATGGATCAGGAGGATCCGTAATGACGTGCTTTGGGCGACGTCGACGGTTTACCATTCGGTCTACAGGATCGGGTATGTGATTCTCGATAGCGTAAAAGTTGGCTCATACATCTATGGAATGGGATCTTTTGCCTTTCTTTGCCGTTAGGGGCGCTGTTCCAACTGCATACAAAATCGAATTAACTTTTACGCTATCGAGAACGTTAAAAAACTCGCACTAAGCAACTGCCCCTGGCATTGCTCGCGTCCATGAGCGACGGGAACCACTCGCCATCAGTGTGCTTAGTGCGAGATTCTTAACGCTCTCGATAGCGTAAACGTTAAGCCAATTCTGTATGTAGTTGGAACAGCGTCCCTATCGGCAAACGTACGCAAACGATCCCATTCAACTTTTTTTTTTATTGCCCTTGTAGGCAGACGAGCATACGGCCCACCTGATGGTGAGTGGTTACCGTCGCCCATGGACTTCAGCAATGCCAGGGGCAGAGCCAAGCCGCTGCCTACCGCAACCAAGCCGCTGCCTACCGCTTTCGACAAATTACTCGACAAATATGAGCTAACTTTTACGCTATCGAAACCGTTAAAAAACTCGCACTAAGTACACTGGTCGATCGTGTGCTCATCTACCTATAATTACAATAAATATATATTATGTCGAGCTTGAACGAGCCCTAGAGATAATTTGTCCAGGGATTTTCACATCTAGTTAAAAAAAATTTGATTTTTTTAAGATTAAAAGAGATCTTACAGTTGTGGCTCTTTAAGCTCGCCTGTTAATAAAAATAGCTAAAACGCTATGTAAAAAATGGGAATTTTAGTTTCAACATATGGTCACATTAAGACCATGTAAGCTTTCGAAAATATCAGAATGTATATATCTTATAAAATTTCCAAAAAATTCGTAAATGCTTAAGTTGAAATTCATGCAGCGGGGTGCCTAATTTAGATATAAGTCTGTCATGTTCGGCCATCTTAATTGTCATGTATTTAAACTTCTCGATCAATTACTATACTAGTGATAGGACGCCTTGTGAGTCCGCACAGGTAGGTACCACCATCCTGCATATTTCTGCCGTAAAGCAGTAATGCGTTTCAGTTTGAAACATGGGGCAGCCGTTGTAACTATATTCAGACCTTTGAACTCATATCTCAAGGCGGGTGACGGCATTTACGTTGTATAGATGTCTATCGGCTGCGGTAACTACTTAACACCAGGTGGGCCGTGAACATGACCACTGACCAAATCAATAAAAAAAAATTACAGCAGTTGGTAAAAAGAGAAAAAGAATCTCAGCTCGTTACGAAAAAAAAAAAAAAAAAAAAAAAAAAAAAAAACAATTTACAAACACGTCTTCATAGTTGTTGAACGTAAATGCTAAACGAAAAACTACCTAAAACCTTGATCTAGTAAACACAACTCTATAGCGATAGAAATAAGCATAAAATTTCTTTGAATGATCTTAACAAATCAATTCGCGAACACGACACGTAAGGCAAATAGTTCGACATGTATTGTGATGATAATTTTGAAGCTAAAAAGTATTTTAGGGTGCGGTTACATTGTAAGCTAATAGCGAGCTTTCATGAACCGAATTCTACAATCAGCACCCGGCTTTAGTCTTAGAGCCCAATTCAAAGTAGGTTCGTTCTGTTATAGGAATTTACTTTGAGGTCATTTTAAAAAAGGAAACTTTTAGGACACAAACTATTTTATTTGATCTATACAATATGGATGATAACTCTCAGAGTAACCCCGGCAGCCACACCCGTGCTCTAAGACAGTTCATTCTCTATTGACTATTCTCCGGTTTCCTTTTTTTTTTATGATTGAATATTTACTGGTGGCCCGGAGGCCTTTCCAGTTTCACCAGGACAGGTGGACGAGCAAAGGCTCAGCCAGGTGGGGTGGGATTTGCTAACAGCTACCCGAGCGCCTCCGAAGGAGACCTAACAGTTCAAGAGCAGCTGCTTCGCGAATGAATCTACTACCGGATCGGAATCGCGACCCGCTGAGAATATCCGGCGAGAAACTCAGCGAGCTGATTCATGGGTTAGGTTGCACGGCGAACTCTTTGTCGAGTTCGACGAGTACGGTTACCGGGGTCCCTAAGCCTGCTCCTAGTGTTAGAGCTGAAGGCGTCTAATGCAAAGGTTATTGGATCTGATGGATCCGTAAGGACGTGTCTAGGCCGTCGACGGTGACTGGCTCCAGCATGACCAGGATTCGGGGAGTAGTCAGCGGCGGCAACAATAAGGCGATTATCATGACGCATCTGATCTAAAGTCTCTACCTCGGACCGTCTAGTCAGCGGTTCGAGGGTATCAGCATTTTAGGGTTCAGTACAGATATATAACAGTTCCCATTCTTTTGGTTATGAATTTAAGTTTAGCAGTCAATTAATTATATTACGCAACCAATTTCAGCGACTTTTAAGCATAGTCCACTTAGTAAAGGGGTTACGCAGTTCTTGGCCAATACAATTTCGAAATCTCAATTAAATGGTATAATGGCCGCCATGTTCTTCTAATTGGAATACAATATTACTTTGCAGTAGATATGGATGGTGGTAACCACTCGTGCAGGCTGTGCACCGCACCACCAGTAAACGCCAATTGGTGATCATACTACGCTAGTAAAACACTTAAAGAACACTCTTTCATTCTCTGTCTTCTCTCTCTCCAGGATTCTAAAACCCCTTATACTTTTACTGCACTTACGGAAAGAGATAAGATAGTGATATTCTATCTAAGTCTCTAAGGTAGGACCTCTTGTGAGTCCACACGGGTAGGTACCACTACCCCGCCTAGTTCTGTCATGAAGCAATAATGCGTTTCGGTTTTAAGGGTGGGGCAGCCGTTGTAACTATATTGAGACCTTAGAACTCATATCTCAAGGTGGATGGCGGCATTTACGTTGTAGATGTCTATGGGCTCCAGTAACCACTTAACACCAGGTGGGCTGTGAACTCGTCCACCCATGTAAGCAATAAAAAAAGTCGACATCAAACAACCCCTATAATACCTTCGGGAGTTAATCTGGACACTAAGCTTTTAAGCATCACAACGTGAATGTCTAAAGTTTATCATGCTTTTTACCAAAGCTGCTAATTTCTATTACACCTTCCCTAAGTCACACTACAAGATATACTCTCTTTTATTTTGTTCGAAGTTCATTAGCTTTATAAATATCGTTAAAACGCTATGCCTAGCAGCTTTAAGTGGCAATATAAAAAATTAACTAAAATAAAAATTATAAAATTATACTAATCCTTCTACATACAATTACCTTTTACCTTCTGTTTAGTTATTAAGTTTTTTTTTTATTGCTTAGATGGGTAGACGAGCTCACAGCCTACCTGGTGTTAAGTGGTTACTGAAGCCAAGACATCTTAAAGGTAAATTCGCCACCCACCTTGAGATATATGTTTTAAGATCTCAAGTATAGTCACAACAACTGTCCCACCCTCCAAACCGAAACGCATTACTGCGTCACGGCATAAATAGGCAGGGTAGTGGTTCCTACCCGTGCGGACTCACAAGAGGTCCTACCACCAGTAATAAAAAGTATTAAACGTTATTCATTCTTAGGAGTCCGCACGGGTAGGTACCACCAACCCACCTATTTCCGCCGTGAAGCAGTAATGCGTTTCGGTTCGAAGGGTGGGGTAGCCGTCGTAACTATACTGAGACCTTAGAACTTATATCTCGAGGTGGGTGGCGCATTTACGTTGTAGATGTCTATGGGCTCCAGTAACCACTTAACATCAGGTGGGCTGTGAGCTCGTCCATCCATCTAAGCAATAAAAATAAGCAATAAAAAAAAATCAATAAATTTATTCAAAACGCTGTTAAAAAGACCCCGTCTGAAACGTAAGGCCCCGCTACAGAATCCACACGACGAGTCACACTCGCTCACATTCCTGTAAAACGAACGATGCTTCATTGTTATACGAACAACGATATTTAACTTCTTGACATTATTTCTGTTTATCTCTTATGAAACTTCTCGGCACTTGGTTATTACAAAACCAAACAGAATAGCCGCCCACACAAGTTGACTCCATTGTGGTATCCTCGCGGAATGCTTTGTGAACCACAATAGAACCGCGTTTATCTCGCGCTGGCAGCCAATTTGGCATTACCATCGCTTTTACAGCAAATAAGCTAATATAAATATTTATGTACGAATGTAATGCATGGATACATAAGCAGTACCAGAGCGCAGAGCTTAGGTCAGAGGATTGGATATGATAGTCTGTCGAGTTGACGACGTCACTATTGAACTCATCTTTTTATTC